ATAAAGCTTCGATCTTTAATTAATACTAAAAAATCAACTCAAAAAGTCAACCCGGGCCCGCGCTTCGGAACCCAACCAAAATTACAAAATCCGAATATCCATTCAATAAGGAGTTCAGCCACACAAAAGTTACTCAAATCCGACCTCAAATCGCCTTTCAAATCCCCAAAATTTAGTCTAAGAAGTTTTCACAATTCCCCCCAAATTTTCAACTCAAATCACTAATTAAATAATGAAAATAACAATGGATTCGTGTAATATAGCCAAAATCGAGTTAGAATCACTTACCCCGATGATTTTCTTGAAAAACCCAGGAAAAATCGCCACAAACCGAGCTCTCTAGGTCCAAAAATAAAAAATGAGATGAAACCCTCGTTTATATGGTACCACACCTCATCTCCCAAAGTGCTGACCGCACATTTTTGTATGGTCCGCACTTCCAAGTTCCGCGGTCGCGATCCAAATTGTGCGGCCGCACTTCAACAACAATTGTACTACCAAGTTTCAGTAAATTGACCATAATTTTATGTACAGATGTCTAAATGATGAATGGTTTGATTTTCTAGAAACTAGACTCAAATAGCAACAACTTTCAATTTTGGATCATCTCTAAATTACTTATAGATTAAAAGATATAAGCTTCCGAAGTCAGACCATCAAACCTGCAGGTTTCACCTTTCTCCATTGCGACCGCACACGGGCTTTGCCTCAGCACTCCAAAAATGTGCCCTCCGCACTTCAACTGCTCCAAAACATCATCAAAGTAGCCGAATGCCCAAAGTTGTTAAAAACTCATCCTAAACACACCCGGGGCATCGGGACCCCATCCCAACATACCAACAAGTCATAAAAAAAAGTATAAACTTACTCAAAGCCTCAAATCACATCCAACAACATCGATTCAAGGAATCGCAACCTAATTCAAGCCTATTAAAAATATGAACATCCGACTTCCAAAACTAACGCCGAAACATACCAAAACAACTTTAATTGACCTCAAATTTTGCACACAAGTCATAGATGACATGCCGGACCTATTCCAACTTCCGAAATCGGAATCCGGTCCCGTTATCAATAAAGTCAACTCCCGGTCAACCTTCTCAACCTTCCAAACCTTCAATTCTCTAACTTCCGCCAATTTAAGCCGAAAGGACCTACGGACCTCCAAATCAACATCCGGACACGCTCCTAAGTACGAAATCACCATACGGAGCTACTGGCATCGTCAAAACTCCATTTTGGAATCGTCTACACAAAAGCCAAACTACCGTAAACCCTTTCAACTTAAACTTCTAACTTAGGGATTATGTGTCCCATTTCACTCTGAAACTCACCCAAACCAAAACAAAACACCCCCGGCAATTCACATAACCATAATACAACATATTGGAGGCAAGAAGTAGGGGATCGGGGCTAAAATACTCAAAACGACCGGCCGGATTGTTACAGAGATACAGTTACATGGAACATAATAGAGTGGCTAACGCACTGGCAAAGGAGGCAGCAAATTCTAATTTTTTGGGAAGAACTATCATGCTAGCAGTTCCTCTGATGTTTGCAAATGATGTATTTTGGGCAGGCATCCTAGGAACTGAAGTGTTAGAAATTTTTTGGCATATAATATTAATACAATTGAACAAAACATGGCTATTTTAGGGGAATTGCAGCACCCCACTTAACTAGTACTCTAAAATGTAGTTACTGGTTATATATATATATAATTCCCTTTGACCCAAAAAAACATAGTATTATTTATGAAATGCTATATTTTTATGTTACCAAGATTACTATATACTGACATTTATATGTTGTTGTAAGTCATCTAAACGCAATACTGTTAGTGGAACTAAAAACGCGTCTTTAAGTTTCAGTGCTCATCAAGTAACTATTTTCTCCGGTCCAAAATAAGTGATTTTTTGACCTTTTTTTTGTGATACAAAATAAGTGATTTTTTCAAATTTCAAGAATGAATTAATTATTTTTTTCCTACATTGCCCTTGGAGTAAATATTGTTGGAGTATGTGTTTGGAGTGTTTATGTGAAGAGAGAGTAAAGGTTAATATGATCAATTTTATTGCTAATTGATGCTAAAAGATGGATTTCTTAATATGTGAAAACAGCTAAAAAATCACTTATTTTGAACCAGAGGAGTACTGTATACGCCTTAAGTTTCAGTGCTCATCAAGTAACAACATAAGTTTCGTTTATTCCTTATAGGACTAGGACTAGGTTATTCCAACGTTAAATAGGCCCTAATTAAACCAAAAAATCATAAGTTCATTCTTTAATTGAGCTTCTCAAACACTATTGATCACTCTCGCTCTGTCTCTCTCTCTAAGCTCGGAGAATCTCACACATAGAACAGAGGATTGTAAAGGTCAGTAATGGATACTGATGTGTTACAACGGAGGCTGATGGATCGTCGTCGTCCTTCACAACATACTACTAAAAAATTAGTAGTATGTAAACATTGGATGGCTGGCAATTGTAATAGGTTTACATGTCAATTTCTACATAGTAGAGAATTAGTGGAACCATCATGGCCAAAGCAGCAGCAGCAGCAACATGCGAAGCGGTTTTCCGATAATCATAATCCGAAGAAGAAGAAGTACAACAATAATACATGGCGAAGGAGTAGTTCTACTACAACTACTACTGCGGCTGGTGGTGGTGGAGTAGTTGTGAGGAATAATAATAAGGCGGAGAAAGCTGTTTGTAAATATTGGGTTAAAGAGAAGTGTACCTATGGAAACAGCTGTAAGAATTTGCATTCTTGGGCTACAGGGAATTGTTTCACATTGTTAGCGCAACTCCAAGGGCACGAAAAAGTTGTTACAGGGATTGCTCTGCCTTCAGGTTCTGATAAGCTTTATTCGGGGAGCACGGACAAGACTGTGCGATTGTGGGATTGTCACACTGGAACAGATGCAGGGGTCATCAATTTAGATGGTGAAATTGGTTGTATGTTAACTGACGGGCCATGGATTTTTGTGGGGTTACCTAATTTTGTCAAAGCAAGAAACACTCAAACAGAAACTGTCCTTAGCCTTAATGGTCCAGTTGGACAAGTCTATGCTCTTGCCTTTGATGACAATGATCAGATGCTCCTTGCCGGTACAGAGGAGGGGCCGATATTAGCCTGGAGATTTCTTGATGGGAGTAATTTTGAACGAGCTGCAACATTGACAGGACACACACATCACGTGGTATCGTTGTTTGCTGGAGCAGGCAATAGATTGTATTCGGGTTCCATGGACAAGTCAATAAGAGTATGGAGCCTTGAAACTTTTCAGTGTCTACAAGTATTGACAGATCATACAAGTACAGTTATGTCTGTTCTTTGTTGGGAAGACTTCCTTTTATCGTGTTCATTGGACAAAACAATAAAGGTCTGGGCTGCTAATGAGAGCGGGAATTTGGAGGTTACATATACTCATCAAGAGGAAAGTTGTGTGCTGACTCTATGTGGAGTGCATGATTCATAAGCAAAGCCTGTGTTGCTGTGCTCTTGCAGTGACAATACTGTTCGCGTCTATGATTTGCCTTCCTTTTCGGAGAGGGGGAGAATATTTTCTAAGCAGGCTGTCCGGAGCATCGAGATTGGTCCTGGTGGTTTATTGTTTACTGGTGATGAATCAGGTCAGATTAGAGTCTGGAAGTGGTTAACTGATCATCAATCCAGCAGTACAGCTACAGCTTGAGATTGGGTAGCCGTATTTACAAAGAGACACTGTATTTTTTAGCACTACTGTCTTCTGTTTTTCTTTTCCTGTTGAGGAAATGTATGTACCAATTGCAAACAAATACCAGTTTTGATTTTTCAGAGGTAGTACCTCTTATATATAGCCTTGCCGTTTTGTTGCTTTAACTAGCATTGAGCTCTTAATTATTATTTTTATTCTTCTGGTTTTATACTTGTATTCATGTAAATCTAATCTAGAGGATACTGATGTCCGTCCTGTACTTTTTTTTTTGCACAGTTATGAATGTAGCTCATATAGTCTTATGTACTCTTGAATAAGTTCACTCATGTTATGCGTTTGTGTTCTTGGCCCACTTTGCTTGACGTTGGCACATACAATGGAACCGTAGATAGTTAAGTGAAATCCAATCCACGAAATAATTTGATGTAATAGAGGGAAGGTCAGAAGCGAGTTTACCTTGTTCACAGGTCGACCCCATAGCTGCAAGAAAAGGTGATCTTGTGCTATACTCCGTTAATCTCTTTCCTAGCTGGACACGCAAACTCCCATCGTGTCCCAGATTACATTCCGTGAACCGAAAGGGGCTCCAATCCCAAGTTTGGACGAATTCATTGTTGTAGTTGATCGTGATTTAGTTTCATGTCCTACACTTGTTTGCTTTGGTAATGGAAGCTTTTAGTTAGATGTTGCACTAATTATTTTGTACTGTATAACTAAGATCAATGGCTTTAAAGTAACATTGCAGGAAATTCTGCACTTGAAATATTCCACATTGTATGCTGACAATACTAATGGGTGTTGCAAATGAGATCCAATTAAGATACTTGAGAGTGGTCTAGGTGTTTTGAGGCAACACAGGGACTACATATTATTAATCTGGATAAAAGCAACATATACCATGTAAATGAGGTGGAATGATTAAACAGTCAATCAGTAACTTGGATGCCAACTTGGTCAATTTTCCACCGCTTATTTGGATATGCCTTTGGAGCAGCACACAAGTCAATTTTTTTATACTTTGGCAAGGAATTATAGAAAAGGTGGAGAAGAAACTAGCCACCATAAGAGATAATGCTTGTCTCTTAAAGATAGAGTGGTAAAAATAAAGAGTCTTGTTCTCTTACTCTCTACCTAAGCTTTGTAGTTCAGACTGATCTTTTATACAAGTCCAGCAACATCTCATTGTATGGCAAGTTAAATTAATAAAATATTTTGCCTACTTGTCAAAAAAAAAAAAAAAAAAGGTTCCAAATGTAAAGTGGAGAATAGGTAAGGAGAACCAGCAAGTGAACAGAATAAAAGTTAAAATAGGGGGGGACACAGATTTCTAGTGTTCAAAGAATACGTTATTAGTTTGGTCACATACATACATACATACTGTATATTGATACATTCCAAGTAAACAGACATGCCATTGGGCATTTCTAGAAGAGATCCAGTTGCTAGTCCTATATTCATGCCCAAGCTTATGTTCAAGGTGCACATTCCTGTTTCCATCTAACTTCAAAATTCATGGGGTCAGACTCCAATATCAATCACAGTATCAAAAATAAGGAACCTATACTCACAAAAGACAGAGGTACAGACGATGTTTAAAGATCAAAAGAATTATGGTTTCCAAGGAGCTGGTGGAGGAGGTGGAGTTGGGAACATCGGTGGTACTGCAGAGAATATTGTGTTCTTATCAACTCCGACGTCTCTATCTCCGGATAGAGCCACGAGAGCTGCAACTAAACCAGCATTTCCAGCAAGAGTAGGCTCTGTGTAATTGTAATTACTACGGACATCGTGGAAACCATCATGCTTGTCTGGTCCAGCAACCATGGCTCCAACAATAATATTCGGATTAACCTTAGATGAGTCCCTCCATTTCCATCCTCCTTTACAGTTATACTTGACCTTGTTTTTAGGAATTGATGCCCCTCTGTGGTGAACACGCTTAGGGTAGTGATTGCCAAAGCCAACGACATAACTCATTTTCCTGGGGTTCTTGCCAAGGATGTAGTCAATCTACAAAGTCAAAGAAACAACCAAGTTAAACCCAGAAATGGTTTACACCTTACAACAGAACTTGCTTATACCGTGTCTCTCATTATCTACACACTCTAGCAGTTAATTATCGTTCATTATTTGTCCCTACACCATATATGAGGCCAATCTAGCCCACTCATCCTCAGCACATGGTGCAATGAGAAATCAAGTTGATTATGGAATAGCATGTACCACAACCATTGACAAGATAGAGTAGAAGAGAAACCCGAGAGTAAGATAGGAGACTCTTACTAACTTAAAATTAGCAGAGTTTCATTACCTGGGTCTCGGCGAATCGACGCAGGACATCAGTGGAGTAGAAATTGGGTCCACAGTACCATCCAGGAGTGTCAGCAGCTTCAAGGTAGTCACTAAACAAGGTAGCCAGGAAAGCTGCATTGACTACATACTGAAGAGGTTGAGGCCTTCCATGGTTTAACTGGATTAGCCCTCCTGGATTGCCCAAAAGATTTGTTTCAGATTTTGAAATAAGAGCTTCAAATTACACAAACTTTACGTGCAAAACGGATAAAGCATGGTTACCTTTTGTGCGGTTAAAAGAAGTGAAGATTGGCAAGTAGGAGCACATGATTATGCTTGTCTGGTTGTGAAATGTCTTTAAAATTTCTTCATAAGGATATCCGGGACTCAAAAACAGTCTCATGCGGCTCAGTAACACCTGAAGAGAAAATGAAAAGCAGCATTTCAGCAAAATATTGAACCCTTTAAGAAATAAAACCTCCTAGTTTACAAGTCTCAAGAACAATAACTGGAAAAGAATATTAGAAGATAATTCAAGAATAGAAGAGGCGATGTTGACTTACTTGAGCTCCAGTGAGCTTGTTATCCCAGCTGAGCACACCATAATCAGGGCCTCCCCAAAAAGCACCAGCATGTTTGGCAAGACCAGGAGTGGTAGCAAGCTGAAGATATGAAGAATTTCCAGTAGCATAGTACAGCCAGGCTGCACCCCATATAAACTCATCCCAGTAACCAGTAGAATTGTAGAAGGTTTCAGCTTCATTGCCGACACTGTATCTACCACGCTGGTCTCTAGAAAATTTGAAGAGAGTTTTAGCACCATGTGCAAGTTTTTGTGAATAAGCCTTATTGTCCTTAAAAACAATGGAGGCAGAAGCCAGAGCAGCAGCCATCTCTGCAGCAAGGTCCGAGCAGCTGTGACATTCAGTCACGGGCCGATCGTAATCAATATCTTCTGGACGCACCCAACAATAGTGATCATTGGGATCAGTACTCCCTCCGGAAGTATCCCCTTTTCCAACCTATATAAATATAACAGAATTCGTCCAATGAGATCGAGTAGCCTAAGTAAGTTCAGTTTTGATCTCAAACACTGAAAATAAAATCACTGGCAGTCATTGATGCTGATTTACAAGAAGCAACCAGAATGAGACTTGGTGAAAGTTAAAAAAACAGCCAAGAGATTACAGTTGTCATGAGTGTGAGAAGTATAATGGAAATAATCACGATTCCTGACTCAAACGAACAATGCGGTGATAACGTGTTCCAGTTGAATGCTAATTACTGATGATAGAAGAAACTATAACTCTCTAGTTGAGAAAATTGTAATCTACACATTTACACAATGCAAAATAAATGATAGTTACCTGTGCAGCAATGCGGTCTATGGTATCAGCAGAGGAATTGAAGGTCTTCAGGAGATAGTCAGTACCCCACTTAATAATATCTTTAACATGAGCGAGCTCACCAGCAGCTTCATATTTTGCACTATACTCGATCACACTCCAACTTAACATGGTGAGAGCAAACGACTGAGGGAAATTAAATTTGATTGCATCTCCTGCATCATAATATCCCCCAACCAAATTTTTGAACATAGTTGAATCATCTGACTGGCCATCTTTTAAACATGAATTCCCCCTCCATGACACATTGTTGTGCTTCGGCAATTTTCCAGCTGTAAATACCAATAAAGGATTAACAAAAGAACTGAGCTACAACCACCAAAAAAGACCAAAAGATAGCATTCAAACACTAGAATTAAAAAATGAACCACTAAAATCCGTAAGAGTCTAATGTTACATCAGCTAACTCAAAATAATATTTTTGCATCTCAAATCAAGCAGCATCTAATGCAGTAATCTTCCAATCTTAAGTCAAAGGCCTTTGTTTATTAGCACGTAGAGCCATTCCACAGACAACATATAAAAATAATAGGAAAGATCATATTTTTTTTCATAAAATGACCTTGATCATCTTAACTAACCCAAAATTTGGGGAAAATAACTCAGTAAAAAATATTCCAGATTAAAGCAAACAAAACAAGAAGATTATTTCAGAGGACTACGGCATGCATCAATAAAATCACACCATTTTACACCTATTAATCAATCAAAAGCCAAATCCAGACAATAAGATCTAATATACAATGAGATGGTAAAGTAAAAATGACATTTTTAAGCACACGGATTGAAGAGTTTACCCCCCACCCCCCAAAAAAAGGAAACAATATATATAAACAGATTACTCACATTTCTGGGCATTGAAGAACATGAGGGCTTTATGGAGAGCGACGGTATAATTATCGGGTGGGGGATTGTGGTGTTTGTGTCTAGGTGCAAGCTTAACAATCATAGTAATGAATCCAGCTAAAAGCGCAGCGGCAAGAATACTGCCCACAGTCCACTTGAAAATCTTCCGACTCACAATAATACAACCAAGATCCACATACTTCTTCTTCTTTTGCTCCGTTGGACCCAACAACCAGCTTTGCTGTGTCTCGTCCAGATTTCTTGACAGCGCCGCCCTATCAAAATCCCCCAAGTTCCTGCTCCTGTCATCGTCTGTGGCTGAATCCGTGGCGTTGATTTCCAATGGCCCGCCCCATGGATCCCTACCGTACATACTCATTTTTGGGTACTCAATATAGAGCAGAAACAAGACACCCACAAACTCAAAACATGCAAATTTTGGATCTTTTTTATAAGATTCAGAAAATGCTGAACTGGGTTAGTCTTGATCGACTGTTTTTATCAGCTAAGGACTCGACTTTAGTTCAAGAATTGTATGTGGATTGAGAAGGGAGAGCGAAAAGGGGTATTATGGGGAAGGAGGAAGAGGAAAGTGGGATAAAAAATGTTGTGTCAACAATGGATATGAAGCTGTAATGGTGCTGTTTTTTGGGCTTTTTGATTGTATAAAATAATATTTTTATATTACTGGTACCGAACTCAAAAAAAAAAAAAAAAAAAAAAGTGTAGTAATGCAGAAGAAATAATATAGTGCTAGAAAAAAGTTGTACTACTACACTAGTTGATGACACTGACGAGACAGCTAATGGACAATGACACTCTGTCTAATTCCAATCCTTCTCTAATTGTGTTTTACTTTCTTACATGTGAGCTTGAATTTAGCCGTTAAATTGAATTTGTAGACATTTTTTTAGTATTTCAAATAATAATGAATTTCATTCTTCACAAATACAAAAATATTATTTATGGTCAAATATAGTTACTTTCTATTGTCCAGGTAAGAGTGTATAGGGTTAAATTTGGCTCATAACGCCCCCACGCCAAATGGGCACGTCCCTTATAATAAGGGCGATCCGACTGAGGACACGACCCAAGTTGGTGAAGAAGAAGTGACGTCGTTTAGTGCCTGGCCTTTTTACTGAGTAGACGCCACCAACTTTTGTACCTTTTTGATTATTTCGAGGGAGGTCTCCTACTATATAAAGGAGACCTCCACATTGTAATAG